ATTTAGTTCTCGGCGGACACAACATCTTTGTTGGTATGTGGTGCTGAGGATCGAACCCGAGCCGCACGCATGCCAGGCGAGCGTGCTACTGCTTGAGCCACATCCCCAGCCCAAATTTTTATTTTTTAACATAACATTTAACATGGTTCTTCATAAAGCAGTTGACATTTAAAAAATATTTGTTCAAATGGATACAGTATCAATGTTTTTTTTGCTCACTGGTAGAAAGTATAAAGTTCAATAAAGTTCATTCTAGGCCTGCTATTTCAATTGTTGCAAGGGCATGTCTTATATAAGTTAAAGAGATTTCACTATATTACAAATGCAAGGTTATTTATGAAAGATCCAATGAGAAAGAAAACAGTATTATTTAAAATACACATTTCCCTGTGTAATAAACCTATTGCTCCAGCAAATTCTAAGATTTCATTGATCTGTTTACAGTGTATTTTATACAATTCATTTATTGCTTACTTCTGGTCTACTTAGCACTGACCTGTATAATGAAGTTTTTATTTGGTCCTCTCTCATTTAGTAGCTCTCAGTAAAAGAAACATCTTTCATGTGCTAGTGGCACAACAAGAAATGGAGGTGGTCATTAGGTTTTAGCTAGCTGAATTTTTCACAGTGAAGTTCAGTCTATCATTGAATTTCAAAATTGAAGAGCCTTTAACATAGCTTATTTTATTTAGGGAAAATTTCAGACCTGGTGGGCTTACAGTTTTCACCCAAGACCACCCTGGTAACCAGACTCCTAATGGCCCAACTCACATTCTATACAAACCCCCTTCACTAGGAACCTTTGTAAGTTGAAGAGTTATCCTCCCATAACTGAAAAAATCCACCTATGGTCTACAGTTTCTCGTTTAAAAGCCTCACAAAGCCCTAAAACTGAAAGGAAAATGGTTTTATACACACAATCTTTCCTATTGCATCCAAAACGTTTTTTAATTCAATAGGCTTCATCCTGTAATTACCATTAGTGGTCGTGGGTTCTGGGAGGAACTGATGATGTACAACACTTTTGATATGTAATAAACCTGGGTACTTAAAAAAACTGGGGTCCTATGGAACTTCAGAAATTAGGGTGATTTCATCCAAGTCGCTGATACCGCCAGTTATCGGTGATGAGTCCTGTTTCCCCACCTGTTGAAGTTTGAACATTAGAGAAGCATGCTGAGAAAAGCATATAAAGCAGGGTTTATTTAAAAAGGGGTAACAGACTTCTCCCAGGAGGGAGAAGGGGGCCATAGCTGGTATCCTGGTATCCCAAGAAGCAGGTGTTCTGCCCTTTTTATATGCCCCGGACTTACTTTGTTCTCCTTCCTGTGTATGTCACTAGGCCCAGGAATGCTCACTGGGAGGGCCCAAAGGTGGGAAAAAAGTGGGCTGAAGGGGGAAGGGCAGGATGGAGTAGCCAAGGGCTTGTTAACAATAAAAGGGACAATTCCTGGGACAGGTTACCTTGCAACTGGTTGGAGCTGGGGCAGGTTCCTGATAAGGGTGGAGGAAGGGATCTGAAGGAATTAACATTTCAATCCCTCTGGGGACAGTCTCCAACTTCCCAGACTCACTCAAAATTGGCCTCTTTGACCCGAACTGACTCGATTTATCTATCTATACTGACTGCCTAATTCTGACTTCAACCCCACAGCGGGGCGACCACCAGCAAGTGGGCCCCAGAAGGGTGCGCAGACTCCTCTATCTGGTCTCTGAAACATCTCACCCCAGCCCCTTATCCAAACTTTGCACCCTTCTGGCCAGGATCCAGTGTGTCCCCGAAGGGAGCAGGGGCTTCTGGGGCCAAGGTGGGGAGTCAGGACACGTGTGAGGACCCTCCTCCATCCACATCATGGGTGGCCAGGGGCACGGCGGACACCTCAACCTTTACCACGCCCATTTGGCCCCTACCACATTTCAAGGTAATCCCTGGAGAAATCTGGAGTGCTGGGACGGAAAAAGGGGCTGATGCGAGCAACCCGGACCCTCAGGTCACACCCAGAGGAAAGAAATAGTGCTCTAACCGGAAATGGAAATGCGTCGCACCCGCCTTGCGGAATTGCACTGAGCTCGGGATCCTCTCTAGGATCTTGGGAGGTATTTGCCTCCGATTTCTGGACTTCCTTGGTACTAAATTCTGGCTTGGGGATCTCTTTGTTCAGCTTGCCCGCTTTGAGGACAGGGAAACTTGCCTTCACAGATATTTATATTTCACAGATACTTATATTTTTCTTATTGATGGCAGTAATTAATAGTTATAATTATTATCGGTCAATAATAATAGTGTGTATGGCTGAGGCTCTGCTGCAAGAGTATAGGTAAAAGAAGATCAAGGATAAATGGTTTCACAAATTGAAGTGGCTGCTTCTCTTTGGGGCCATGATTATGTGTTGCCAGTTGCGTGGACACTATTTTCAAATACTTGATTTATGTCGTAGATTTTTTTATTATAGTTTAGCTTTGCATTACTATAACAAGACAGCCTGAGATAATTTTTAAAGGAGGAAAATTTTATTTTGGCTGAGTTTCAAAGTTTTCAGTCCATGATTAGCTGGCCCTGTTGTTTTGGGGCATGTGGTGAGGCAGCACACCATGGCAGGTGGCAAAGGAAGTTACTCATCCCATGGCAGCAGGGAAGCAAAGAGAGAGAAGAAAGTGTTGGAGGTGAGGATCTCAATATCCCCTAGGAGAACAAGCCCCAGCCAGCTAACTTCCTCGAGCTAGGCCTCACCTCTTAAAGTTTCCATGACTTCCCAAGAGTGTCAGTCTTTAATACACTTCTTCTCCTTTCAGCACTTCYCCAGGGATCTGGTTAAAATAGCAGTTTGCTACTTTAATTTTTTTGGTTCTGGGGATTGACCCCAGTGCGGAAAGGATTGTGAAGAAAGAGGGCCATTCCTTGTGACTCAAGGAATGAGTCACTGAGTTGTATCCCCAGCCCTTTTTATTTTGAGATAGGGCCTTGCTAAGTGCTGAGGCTGCCCTTGAACTTGCAATCCTCCTTTACAGAGCTGGTGCCTCTGGGAAACTGAGGTAGCACAAAGATTCCCCCCACCTTCAAACCTCAATTCTTGTGATCAAGTCTGAAAGATTTCAGACATATCACAAAGAGTAAAAGGCATGAGTTTACTGAAGGGATAGAAGGGTAAAGGGGACACTCTCAAGGGAAAGTTTTTCCTCTTGGAGAGAAGAGGGACAGCGTGACTCTCCTGTATTCTAGTTTAATTGGGGAACCCAGAGAAACTTTCCAGAGAGTCCCATGCAGGTCTGACTTTTGACTAATAGCAGGATGACACCAGACTTTCAAGTCCCCTCTGCCATGCCAACTCTGGCTCACTGTGGCCCATACCAATTCTAATTGAATTCTTAACCATAAATTCTTATAGATGGTTAGGATGAATTATTCTTATATCTCCCTGGTTTTCAGAATCTGGTCTATGAAAGGACACACAGAAGTCACCCCCCCCCCCCCAGGGTAACTTGGGTTCCTCTTATCAACATTATTTTGGGCCTGCATTTCTCCTACAGATAACAGTTTGCTGAGGAATGTGACATAACCTGTCCATTTAAGCTAGGCAAGGCTGCAGGCAAATTGCTTCTTGAAAATGGGCCTTTTAATGAAGTATTCCCTTAACCTCGTGTCTCAGTTGTCTGTCCCACAACTCCAGCCTCAGTCTCCTGGGATTACAGGAGTGTGCCACCTTGTGCCCAGCAAGTTTGTTGCTTTGTTCAGATTCCAACTCAAACCTTTTCTCCAGCTGTTCCAAACTGCCCTAGTTACCCCATGTTTCCTCAGCAATTTATCTTAGCTCCCCTGCCCTGGCACTGATGTTTGAATTGAGGTCTTTAAACACGCTTGGCGAGTGCTCTACAACTGAGCTACATTCCCAGACCTTTTTTATTTTGAGACACGCAAGGTCTTGCTAAATTGCCCAGGCTGGCCTTGGGTTTGTGATCCTCCTGCCTTAGCTTCCCCAGTAGCTGAGATTATAGGCATGTGCCACTTTACCCGACTAGCTTAGTTTTATGTACACATGTCTATCTCAAACTACAAAAGTATAGGGGTGTAATATTTTACTTCTTTTGTGCCTATCCATGATAAGTGCAATAGGGGGCTTATGGTAAAAATTAATGAAGTGCTCAATCCTCCCTTGGGAATAGTTGCACGTTAAAGCAATATAGTTAGTGCTAAAAATCATAAATTTTATGAGTTGGTTGTTTCCACCTGTGTCATCGGAAGAAGTGTTGAAAGACTACTTTGCTCAAAAGCAAAATGATAGCTGTTTCTTAGAGAACCCTGCTCTGTTAGGGCTCAATAGCTATTGGGGGGAAGGGGACTCTTGAATGGGTGTCTCYTGTGATCCTTTCATTGGAAAAAACTGCCTGAATCTGCTAAAACTTGGAAACACTGTATGTACATCACTTTCAGTTTGCTCATCTCTTCTGCCTCTCTGCTTACAGTGTGAGGCACTTTGAAGTGGAGAAATAGCAACTCAGTAAAGAAATCCAAACCTATAGCTACCCTAGAATATTAAAACAGCTGTTATAAAAAGGAGAAATTCATGTGTCATCTGTTGTCCCAGGGACTGTCAATAGGAACAATAGTTAGACATCACCCAAGGGTWTATTTCTGTTTAACACAAGACACAGTTTTCAACTGGAGCTGGCCAGCAAGCAATAAACTAAGCAGTGTATTATCTGTCTCTAGTCCTGACTCCATTGTGCCAGGATATTAGAGACTAAAGGACTGTGTCACAGTATGAAGTTGGACTAGATCAATGATGCCCAAGGAGGAAAGACAAAGACGGCAAAATCTCTCAGAAGTTGATGCAGTTTAAAAAGCATACAGAGGGGCTGGGGTTGTGGCTCACTGGTAGAGCACTTGCCTAGTATGTGTGAGGCCCTGGGTTTGATCCTTAGCACCACATAAAAATAAAATAAAGGTCCATTGACAACTAAAAAAAATATATTTAAAAAAAGCATACTGGATGCTGCACATTTCAGATTTTTCTTAATTTGAAATGACAAGTAACAGTAAAGGATAGCATTTGACTTACTATAGACAATGTTTAAAGTTTYTTCCAAATCACTTTTTTTTAGTTTTGATTCTGTTAAAAGGTCTTAAGATCCAAGAATACCACGGGGATGCAATGCCCAGGCTCTCCGCCTGCCCAGGTAAGGCACTACCCTATACCCATCCCTGTTTCTGCGTGGCTGAGGCTTTGCACCAGAAACCCAACTGCCTTCCTCGGTCTCGCTTCCATTTCAACTTACACAAGGCTCCCCACCCCCACATTACCCAAGGTCCACAAATTTCAGCCGATCCCAGGATTTGGTGGTCCTCCTTTCGCTGAGGCGCTACTCGGCGGAGGCACCCTTCTGCTAGATCCCTACTATGACCATTAGTTCAGTCATTGTTCCTCAGGGTGATGGGCCTACTAGGGCGGGCCACCTCCCTGCGGGGAGTCCGAAGGGYCCGCTGGCGTCTGAGAAGGGCCGGTGGGGGGCGCTTTCCCAACGTCTGTCGCAGTCATAGGTGGTGTGATGGCTAAAAGCGCCCATCAGGTGAGTGCGACCGCAGAAGGAYGAAGAAAACTCATATGAGAGAGGGTTTACGGCCCTTACTAGAGTACCCACTCCCCTATCCAGGACCCTCATCCAACGGCACCATCCGGGGCTCTCATCCGGGGCCTTTATTTCGCCGCCGGAAGTGAAAACGAGAAGCGCCCGCCTCCAGGTTGTCTAGAGCGGTCCCGGAAAGGCTGGCGCTGCTACGCGAACGAGGGTGTTCCTGAMGGGACTGTCGTTAGGTCCGCCTCTCTGCTCAGGGTGAGTCCCCCGGAAGCCGTTCTCGCGTCGCCGTGGGAGCGGCCCGTTGTTTCGCTTCCCCAGGAGGAGGAGGCGGCCCCGGCCGGGGCTGAAGGCTGTTCGCGTCTCTAGGAGCGCGCGGGGGCCTGTTTCTCCTCGTTCCTGGTTCTCCCGGAAGCCCGGCGCGGACTGAGGGCCCCGCGGTCAGAACTCGGTGTCGTGCCTTGGTGTGAGCTGGGTCCGTRTGGCCCGCTTCGCCTTTTTTGGGATTCTGTTTTCGCCTAAAAGGGAAGTGGGAGGAGGGCAGCATTAGGCGAGGCCTTTCGCGCACCAAGCTAGGAGCCTGGCGAGGGCCCTTACACCGGGTTGTGGAAGGAGGACGTAACCCTGTGGCGTCCTTGGGTTTGAAGGACACTAGTCAAACCTCTTTGAGTCTCAGGTCTTCTGTATGTTCCTCTCAGACTGCCCACCCAGTCGGACGAAGGGTCTGACCCCAAAAGTGGAGTTTTATTATTCTTTAGGCCCGTTCAGTAATTCAAGTGGGCTGTCGTCGTTACCAAAATTGTTCCTAAGGGGCCTCCTTTAGAAAACAATGAGTAATCACAACGAGCATGTTTCTCTTGAGTACGAATTTGAGACTCCAAGGTTGTACATTTAATTCTTTAAACTCTCTACAGGAAGCTTTACARCATTCACTTGTAGTATATATATTTTTTTCTTAATGAAATCCTATAAGTTCAGATTTAGTGGGTTTCAAATACACCTATGAACCAGGACCTAATGATTTGGATCTTAAGTATCTGAAACTGAGTAATATCTGTTTTTCTTTGTGTTGTTTATTTGGAGTGGGTAATCGTTGTTAACTAGTTTTTATTGAGTACCTACAGTGTGTAAGATACTTTGGTAAGTCTAGAGGATATAAATCGATGTGATGTTTTAATGTATTGCAATAATTTCTCCTAATCTCACCCTGCAGTGATGGTCATTGTCCTCCAGAACAGGGATGGAGGAAATATCGGCCCAGGAAGCAGCAGGATCACCGAGGGTCCAGTTTCAGTCTTTGGAGACACAGTCTGAGTGTTTTCCCCCAGAACCTCAGTTCCTGCAGGACACCGACATGGAACAGGGACTCACTGGGGGTAAGGCAGAGATAGCATTTATAACCAGGAGAATGGGAGTGTAGAGAGTCTCCTGGGCCTGCCAGGGTGAGGCCAGGAACTTGAATAAGAATTATCCCCTAGAGGGAGGACTGGAATGGACAGATGTGGCTCAGATCATTCCTAGTTTGGACCTCTTGGTTAAAAATTATTCTTCTTTCTTTTTTCTTCTTTCTTTCTCTCTTTTTTAGTATTGGGGATTGAACCCAGGGATGCTTTACCACTGAGCTACATCCCTAATCCATTTTACTTTTTATTTCGATACAGGGTCTCCTAAATTGCTAGGTTTCACTGAGTTGAAGGATCTCATTAAATTGCTGAGGTTGGCCTGGAATTTGCCAATCCTCCTGCCTTAGCCTCCTGAGTCACTGGGATTACAGGCATGCACCACTGTGCTCGGCTCATCTTTCTTTAATAAGCAGAGTGGTAGTCATTCATTCTGTTCTGGGTGTTTGTCTTTCAGACAACCTTCACTTCATCCCACTTAATACATCCAAAATAATTTCTAAGATTTGCTGCTTTTGCCATATCTCACAATCCTTGCTTGACTCTCACTTCCTCTTAGATCCAGGACCTTTCCCTTCCCCTTTCACTTTACTTGCTTTGCCACTTGCCTTTCTGTTGCAGCTGCAGTGTTTGTGACTAACTTAATTCCTTGGTTGAGCATAATRCCTGTTTGAATGCATATGTGTTATATATTGACTGTAGAGTCATATTGTTATCTATAGATAGATTGTCAAGACTTTTTTTTTTTYCCCTTTGTTTTTTGAGAATTATGTCTTAGATTACTGTGGCCAGCTTCAGTGCCTGAAACACTTGTGTGTTGCAATATAGATTGCACCATAGGGTGTAGGGTGCTGTGGGGCATTGTGGGAGTGCGGAAAGGATTGTGAAGAAAGAGGGCCATTCCTTGTTCCTGGGAGCCTAACACACTGGTTGCAGAGACAGTGCCCATTCACAAAAGAGAGAGGCTTAATGGAATTTACAGAGCAGTGTCTGGGAAAGTGTCAGAAGTCTTTTAAATAACCTTGGTCCTGGATAAGTCACTACAAGTCTTTATGCTTTGCCCATCTATAGAACAGGTATAATGCTTGTTCTTCTGTGAGAGCAATAGCATGTCAAGGGGTTAAAGTAAAATAGGAGGATTTCTAATAAAATCCTGTATCACAGGTCTAAACATGTGTGAGTAGGGCATGAAGTACTGTGCAGGAGCAGAGAAGACACACCCATTGCTTGATAAATGTTCATTGGTTTTACTAGAATATTGATGTAAAGGAGGTCCCACTGACACCCCTTGGGCTAGAGAGGCCTCTTCTGAAAGGGAGCCCTGGGGAGGGGCTGCTCTCACTCTTGGCTCCTTTCTCCTCCCTCAGCTCCACCTGTTCCCCAGGTGCCTGCTCTTCCCCACGAGGGAAGCCCAGGAGACCAGGCAGCTGCGCTGCTGACAGCCAGGTACCAGGTGAGCTGAGGAACCCTCTGCTTTTCCTCAGGGGCTCTTGCTGCTGATATGAGTGTGACTACTCCCTCATCCCATCCATTAATCCTTGCCTAGAATTTTTTTTTTTTTCAATAGCAACCCCCAATTTGGGAACTGGTCCTCTTCAGAGATCTGCACTTTACACAAAACACTTTTCCATCTCCCCAATACCTGAGCAGACCTTCTTTGACCCTGGTCCTATGGTAGCCACTTACTCGATATTTAAGGGTTATGGGATTTATTCCCTAGGTCTAATCTGTTTACCCTCCTCCCCAATGTAAATACACACTGGATGCCCTCTCTGTCATCATCCTCATTTTCTGGCCATGGTGCTACAGTGGCCTCATTCCCCAGAGCAGCCAGAATGTGTTATTTCAGGAGTTTGTGACATTCGAGGATGTGGCTGTGCACCTTACTCGAGAGGAATGGGGATGCCTGGACCCTGTTCAGAGGGACCTCTACAGAGAAGTGATGTTAGAGAATTATGAGAACGTGGTCTCACTGGGTAAGGACCGTCTTTCTTATTTCKCAATTTATCTGTTTCTGAGGAGGTGTGAGGTTTCTGAGAAGGTCAGTAGGGTGTGGCTCAGATTTCAGTTTTTTTTTTTCCCCCCTGGGGAATTGAACTCAGGCGGGCTTTACTAAACACTGAGCTACATCCCCAGTCCTTTTAAGTTTTTTAGAAACAGGGTCTTTTTTTTTTTTTTTTCCCCAGGCAGGTGGGCACCAGGGATTGAACCCAAGGGTGCTTAACCACTGAGCCACATCCCTAACCCTTTTTTATTTTGAGTCAGGGTCTCACTAGGTTGCTTACCCCTTGCTAAATTGCTAAGACTGGCTTTGAACCTGCGATCCTCCTGCCTCAGCCTCCCCAGACCTGAGATTACAGGCGTGTGCCACCGTGCCTGGCTAGAGACAGGGTCTTACTAAGTTGCTCAGGGTCTCACTAAGTTTCGAAGCTGGCCTTGAACCTGAGATCCTCTTGCCTCAGCCCTCTGAGTAACTGGGATTACAAGGCATGCACTACTGTGCTTGGAAGATTTCAGTTCTTATAACTTTTGAATTTTCTATTTTTAAGGTTGGCTCCTGAGGGATGGTAATTAAGATTCCTTAGGGGTGTCAAGAGGAGACATTCTGCTTCTTATCCCCAGTTCATGTTTCATGGGACTTTTTATTGCCTGTTAGCAAAGAGAAACTTGCTTGTGCTTTGCTTAAGTTCTCACCTTATCTTTCTTTTTCTTTTTTTGCGAGAGACTCTAGAGCAGCCTCCCAACCCCCTACTAGACTCTTTGCTTTTGGTATTTCAGTGTCCCCATACCTGAGATTTTTCTCATTTTCGTATGAAGAAGTACCTTTCTAAAAGATAGACTAGGGCTGGGGAAGTATTTCAGTAGTAGTGCTCTTGCCCAGCATGTGCAAGGTCCTGGGTTCCATCTCCCTACCAGGGCCAAGACCTCAGCTCCTCTGTTTCTGATACTTTATGTCCAACCTGTTAACTGTTTATAGTGTATCCAAATTTAGCCACTGTTAACTGCCTTCACAGGTACTCCCTTGTGCAAGCCACCATTATGCCTCCCTGGAGAACTGCATAATTTCGAAAGAGTTTCCCTGTTTCTACATACCTTCAGTTTATTCTTATCACAACATCCTGAGTAACCCTTTAAAAATATAAATCAAATCAAGTCACTTTTCTGCTTGAAGACTTACAGTGAGTCCATATTTCATGTAAATAAAAGGCATATAGTTTTATGACTTTCAGAGTACCTCAGCGATCTTGCCTCCCATTACCTTTTTTCTCATCTCTTCTGTCTTCTCCTTTTTGTTGAGTAGTCAATTCATCTCTAGTCAGGCAAATTTAAGAGATTTTGCTTAAAAGCATGACTCACTATAAATTCATTCCAGTGAGTCACCTAGATGATAATCCCAAGTAACCACACCCAGGGCAACAGAAGTCTTAGATGTTTACCCCACCTTAGTGGGATAATTGAACTGTCTTTCTTTTGTCATTTTGAGTGGTGTAGTAGGAGTGAGGATTAGGCAGCCTTATAGCACTGTTGAGGGGCATCAGTGGGGAGTTGTTGGCAGTCTCCTTGATGAGCATGGTTCCTTATTTCCCAGTCTGTACTCTGTGTGTGTGTGTGTGTATACACACATTTATTTACTCATAGCTTTTTTTCTTTTCTCTCTCTCTTTTTTTTCCTTTTGCTTTGCCTGTTTGGGTGGTGGCATCTAGCACATTTCTTTATTTCCCAGATTACACACAGGATTCAAGAGGCCTTCTTACCTGCRGGGTGGCAGTCTGTCCACTGGGAAAGTTTTTAGTGTGTTTTCCATTCCTGGCTCTTTGATCTTTATAGGCATACTTCTTCGCCTTCCCATCACCCGGATTCATTGTGTGAATTCCTGCCCAGCCCTGAGTCATACCCAGGCAAGTGCTTTCTCTGGAGAAACACTTGCAGTTCTTACAGCAGGAATCTCCAAGAGATGGTGGCCCAAGTATCGGATTTCCATCGGTAGTGCTCGGCCCTGCTCGGAAACTCCTTTTCCAGGATTGTAAGATAATAAACTTGATTAATTGGATTAGATGCTTCCCGGAATGCCACCACTATGTAAAATTGCAGTTCTTCAAATGAGCTTTGTTAAATTTCTRATATAAGGGACAAAAGAAACCCTTTCTTTGCAAACAGATGGATTTTTGAACCTAGTTTATTTAGAAACCATGCTTGGTGGTCATTTGCATATGTTCTGAGAAACTAAAAAGTTCAACCCCATCTCCTCAGTTATGGTCTTTTCCTGTGGTTTTAGAGTGTGGAATATGTGCTCTGTGTAGCCCCTTTGCTGTAGTAAACATGACCTGCCCCTCGTGTTGCCTYRCACTTTTGTGAACCTTTGTCTTTCTTCATTTTTAACATAATTTTCTCCTTCAAGGGCCTGCCTTCTTCCCCTTGATTCTTTGTGGCACTATATAGATTGATGTATTTATATTAGCTTTGCTGATTAAGTATTCCTTTGTTCCTTAGAACTATTCTCTTTTTTTGTATGGGGGATTGAACCTGGGGACACTTTACCTCTAGGCTACATTTCCTGTCCTTTTTAGTTTTTATTTTGAGACAAGGCTTTGCTCATTTGCTGAGGCTGGCCTTGAATTTGCAATCCTGCCTCAGCTTCCCAGAGTGCTGGGATTACAGGTGTGCACCACAGTGCCCAACTCCTTAGAACTCTTTTTTAATGGAGGGGAAGTGGGAGGGCCAAAGAGTTAAATCTATTTCAGGGCATCAAAAAGAATGTATATTAATAAGTTTGTAAATTGTAAAGTGATATACATAATTGTAAACTGTTAATTTTACCTAATAATTACAGAATTTCCAACAGTTAACCTGTCTATTTTTTGGAGTAAAGAAACTTTGTAGCAGTTTATTGCAGTCATATAGCACAATATGCCATGAAGCTGAACTACATCCCATTTCTTCTTTCATTTCYGCATACACAGTGCATGCATGCACACTGACAGTACCAGACACAAGAAACCCTCTTTCAACCTGCTTTTGTGACCAAGTCAGTAGCATCTCCTTAGCAATTATTTTTACGGTCCCTGAGAAGTAATTTTCATATTTGTGGGTTCAGCACATTCGAAATTAAAAGTTATATATTTATTAATTTTACTTACTGTTTAGGGTTGTAACATATAAAGACTTTATGATTATTCCCTGATTTAGCAGTCCTACTGTCTAGTTTATCTCTCTTACCTCTGGCAGTAGCTCTGAACTATATTTGACACAGTCATCAGAACTTTGGTCCTTTGGTTATGTGCTTCTACTAGATAGTAAATATATAAACTATAAATGAGTAAAAAACAAGAAAAATATTCTTATTATCAAATTTAAAAAGAAGCATGTTCTGTTGAAGTGAATGAATAAATGGTTTAAGGATTGTACCCAAAGAGAGGTGACCTGTGAGTGAGTGCTAGATTCAGGCCCAGAAAGGGTAGGATTGCACTCCACTTGGGTCATGGTAGATGCCCTGTTAGATAATGGTGTTAGAAACATTCTTGTCAGAATTTTTGATGAAGATAAATAAGTCTATAGATCTTGAATATTTTGTACATACCAGTTGCTTTTTGAACTTGATGCCATGGAGGACAACAGTAATTTTACACAGAATGTTTTTTACTGTCATGGCTATTTACCATTTACTGAGCAGACAATGTGTTACTAGGTATTTTATATATCTCTCTCATTTAGACCTTAGCATAATCGTGTTTATAGAGGATATTATCCTTACTTTATATCTGAGAAAAGTGAGGCCCAGGAAAGTTAAGTGATTTTTGCAGGAACAGTGATGGGCTTGGRACACAGTTCTGTCTCAAGCCTATGCTTTTTTTTTTTTTTTTTCCTGTTACCAGGGTTTAAAGCCCCGGGGGCGCTTAGCCACTGAGCCACATTCCCAGCTCTTTAAAATATTTTATTTAAAGACAGGGTCTCCCTAAATTGCTGAGGCAGGTTTTAAACTTGTAGTCCTCTTGCATCAGCCTCCCCAGCCACTGGGATTATAGGCATGCACCACCATGCCCAGTGCCTATGTTCTTTTTGGTGTTTCAGGGCATTAGGTCAATAAATTCAAACACATATGGCATTCTTTTTTTTTTTTTTTTTGTATTTTTAATGGTTGTCTATTTTGAATGGCAAGAAAACCTCAAAATAGCTGTGATAAATTAGATAAACAGGCCAATTTGTACAGTTCAGAACCAGGAAGAATATGCATTCAAGAAACAAAGCCATTTAGGGATTCATTTTAGCACAATAGGTGTCTACAAAAGAATGCTATTGCTGAGGAAAGATTTTATTTGCATATTTATTAAGGATCAAGAAGAAAAACATGAAGATTCCAGATGGCTAAAGTCTTAGCACAACTCTGGTAAGAGCAATAAGCCAAATAATAAGGTAAATTCTAAATGTTATTTTTAAAGGCAGTTTAGAATAAATYTCATTTAAAAACTCTCAAATGAAAAAGGTAAAAAGGTTTGAATAGAAAATTGAGTTATACTTTAAATAAAAGTATAAATAATTTATTTTTTAATATATATATTTTTTTACCTGTAGTTGGACACAATACCTTTATTTTATTTATTTATTTTTATGTGGTGCTGAGGATCGAACCCAGTGCCTCGCATGAGCTAGGCCAGCGCTCTACCACTGAGCTGAGTTATAATTTTAAATAGGAAAAAATTTAAAGCAAGTGTATGGTTAAGAAAGCATAGTGTTTTGGGGCTGGGGTTGTAGCTCAGTGGTAGAGTGCTTGCGTAGCATGTGTGAAGCACTGGGTTCCATTCTCAGCACCACATATAAAGAAATTAAATAAAGGTCCATCAACAACTAAAAAATATATATAAAGAAAAAAAAGAAAGCACAGTGTTTCAAGTTAAAATTGTAGAAAAAGGCATTCAGGTCATTTGCAACAAAACCTACCATTAATGCTTTCTGTGACAGGCAGTATTGATAGATGGACAAACTATGGATTGTGGAACCAAACATTGATTCTRTTTACCAACTGTGATATGTTGAGTAAATTATTTAATCCATACTTGGTTTCTTCATCTATAAAACATGAAAAATAATGTCTACTTTTCTGGGTTATGCTGAGGATTAAATTGTACATATTATATAAATTAAATTGTATATTTTTAATGTGTATAAGTGTCTGGTTTATGCTAGTTATTTCAGTTTTTTGGAAAGCACAGCAAGTGATATGAGCTATAGAGATTTACTAATCCAAATAAAAATTTAGGAACATACTCAAATTATTATAGTGGAATTTTCTCAAATTGGACATTGGTTAGACTCTTGCCTAGGAGTTTGAATTTTTATTATAGGAGATTTGTATGTCATTAAGATGAAATGATCTTGTAGATCCCTTTTAGTTAAAATTTCTGTGATTCCAAAATCTTAGGATCTTGGCTCTCCATGTTTKTACCTTGTTCTCTACTGTAAATATGGTGGTCTTCTGTTTGTTTGTTTTTCCATATGTATTTTTGAAGGAGGGATGGGTTTCACTTCACAATTGTTTCCTCCTTTCCTTTTGGGTACTGGGGATTAAACCCAGGGGTGCTTTACCCTGCTGAGCTATATCCCCAGTCCTTTTTATTTTTTTTAATTTTGTGACCAGGGTCTTGCTAAATTGCTGGGGCTGGACTTGAACTTGTACTCCTCTTGCCTTAGCCTCCCAAGTGCCTGGGATTACAGGTCTCTGCCACTGTGCCTAGCACAATTATTATTTTTTCTAGTAGAATGTTTAAAAGACAGGTTTTTTTTTTTGCTGGTGTAGCAGGTATCAGGGATTGAACCAGGAGTGCTTTACCACTGAGCTAAGTCCCCAGCCCTTTAAAAATTTTAAAACAGGCTCTTAATAAGTTGCTTAGGGCTTCACTAAATTGCTGAGGCTGACTTCAAACTTGTGATCCTCCTGCTTCAGTGTCTTGAGTTGCTGGSATTATAGGCCTGCACCTGTAATCTTGGCATCTAAAAGCCAGATTCTGAAATAACGCTGAATTTGAATCTTAGCTTTCTTCATCACTTATTTTGACTTGGGGAAGTTACTTAGACTTCTCAGAATCTTAGTATTTCAATTTGTTCAGCGAGAAAAATAATAGTTTCTGTCTCATAAAATTATGGTGAGTGTTARATGAATGAAAACTTGTAAAGCTCCTGGCATGGTACTTTATACCCACTGAGTCCTTAGTAAACCTTAATACTTTGATTATACTTATATAATTGACTTTTAGTCTATCTCAAAATATTTTCCTCTTCTATAGTTTTTTAAAAAATATTTTTAGTTATAGATGGACATAATAACTTTACATTCTTATATTACCTTAAATATGAGTCTAAAATCAGATACTTTACTGGGTGCGTGGCACATGCCTGTGTTCCCAGCAGCTCAGGATGCCGAGGCAGGAGGATTGCAAATTCAAAGCCAGCCTCAGAAACTTAACAAGGCCCTAAGCAAYTCAGCAAGACTGTTTCTGAATTCCAATTTGGGATTAATAGAGTCAGTTCTTTTCAAAACATACAAACAAGGGCTGAGTATGTGGCTCAGTGATGAAGTGCCTCTGGATTCCATCCCCCATACAACAACAACAAMAAAAAATCAGATTAACTTCATCCCCCATGAAAACATCCTTTTATTGTGCATTTGTATTTTAAATGTAACTGTAGAGTAAATAACCAAAATGTGTTTCAGTTATTAGATACTGAGAAACACCTTAATTAATATATCAAAGTTAAATGTTACAAATTATGTTATTAAAATTCCAAGGAGGACTGGGCTTGGGATGCAGCTCAGTGGTATAGCACTTGCCTAGCATGTGTTTGCAGCTCTGAGTTCAATCCCTGCAGGGAAAAATAAGAATTCTGAATACAATATTTGTTCCTCTCTGCACACCTTGACTTAAGCTTTCATATCTTTCTCTTTTGAGGGAGGGATGCTGGAGAGCAAACCCAGGGCCTTATGAATTGTAGTCAAGTGCTCTACCGCTGGGCTACATTCTCATCCCAGCAAAACTATTTTATTTGATGTGAAAGAGCTTAATTAACTGAGTCCAAAAGAACTGACTCTTATTAATCCTCAGCTGGAATTCAGAAACAGTAAGTGCCTTTCATGGCTCTGTTTTGATTTCTTTGCTCATAGGCTCTTATATGGGGTCTTAAAGGGCAGCTGTTGTTCATGATATTTTTCAGGCCCAGTGCCATTTTTATATAAGTTGGTAGCTGTTCATATGTTGATACATGGGCACAAAGTTGGGATAAGATAGGTGTTGCGTACATTAATCAAAAGAATTGCAAGATAACATGGTCCCTGCTATCAAAGAGTTTATAAATTGGGCTGGGGTTGTGGCTCAGTGGTAGAGCGCTTGCCTAGCATGTGTGAGGCCCTGGGTTTAATCCTTAGCACCACATAAAGATAAATAAAGGTACACTAAAAAAATATTGAAAAAAAAAGTATAAATCAAGTGAGGATAATAATGCCTGAAATTTTTAAGAATGTAGCCAGGTGCACACGCCTTTAAATTCCAGCATCTTGGGAGGCTGAGGCAGGAGGATCACAAGTTCAGAGCCAGCCTCAACAACTTTTTTTTTTTCTCATTAATATATATGTCTTTATTAATAAATTTTTTTTGCAATTTTCCATTTTATTATTTTTTTTTTATTGGTTGTTCAAAACATTACAAAGCTCATGACATATCATCTTTCATACATTTGATTCAAGTGGGTTATGAACTCCCATTTTTACCCCAAATACAAGTTGCAGAATCGTATCGGTTACACATCCACATTTTTACATAATACCATATTAGTGWCTGTTGTATTCTGCTACCTTTCCTATCCCCTACTATCCCCCCTCCCCTTCCCTCTCATCTTCCCTCTCTACCCCATCTGCTGTTATTCAGTTCTCTCCCTTCAAACTCTTATATGTAATTTTGTGTAACAATGAGGGTCTCCTTCCATTTCCATACAGTTTCCCTTCTCTCTCCCTTTCTCTCCCCCCACTCGTCTCTGTTTCATGTTAATCTTTTCCTCATGCTCTTCTTCCCTGTTCTGTTCCTAGTTGCTCTCTTTATATCAAAGAAGACATTTGGCATTTGTTTTTTAAGGATTGGCTAGCTTCACTTAGCATAATCTGCTCTAATGCCATCCATTTCCCTGCAAAATCCATGATTTTGTGGTTTTTTAGTGCTTCGCAATACATTGTGTATAAGTGCCACATTTTTTTTATCCATTCATCTATTGAAGGGCATCTAGGTTGATTCCAGAGTCTAGCTATTGTGAATTGTGCTGCTATGATCATTGATGTGGCAGTATCCCTATAGTATGTTCTTTTAAGGTCCTCAGGGAATAGACCGAGGAGGGCGATAGCTGGGTCAAATGGTGGTTCCATTCCCAGCTTTCCCAGGAATCTCCATACTGCTTTCCATATTGGCCGCACCAGTTTGCAGTCTCACCAGCAATGTACAAGTGTACCCTTTGCCCCACATCCTCGCCAGCACTTATTGTTGTTTGACTTCATAATGGCTGCCAATCTTACTGGGGTGAGATGGTATCTTAGCAGCCTCAGCAACTTAAGGAGACCCCAAGCAACGAAGCAAGACCTTGCCTCAAAAATAAATAAATAAATAAATAAATAGGGCTGAGGATGTGGCTCAAAATAGTTAAGTGCTCCTTGGTTTAATCCCTGGTACCAAAAAAAAAAAAAAAAAAGAATCTTTAAACAATATTATACGGTGGCATGTCAAGATAAGGGGAACAAATAATAAGTTTTGTAGAGACAAGGGCTTGAGCAAGACCTTTCATGTGTGCTACCAGATATTTGCCAGGGCCAGCACATATAAAAACAGCCCCTTTTTTTTGATACTATCAAAGTTCTGTTCCCTTAGAAGCAGACTGTTTGTTRTTTTAGCATTGAAAGAGATCTTAAACCATTATGCAAGCCATAGAAGACCATTTTATGTTTGAATGCACTTTTATTGTATTTTTTCTCATTGTATGGTATTGTAGTTAGTTGTTTATAGCTGTCTCTGCAGTTGGAGTGTGAGGTTCTTGAGAACTTTCAGGGGATGGACCTTTTACGTGGGTTCTCCATCCCCTACATTCTCTCTATATAAGGGGCACTTCCTAAATGCTTGTTGAATAAAGAATAATGTACAGTAATTCTAATAGGTAAGGATATTCTTTTGTTTTCCCTCATATGCACTGGAATTGTTTTTTTTCCTTTATTTTTAAGAAAATTGAGTTGTAATATTTGTATATCTTGAGCACATTTATGTAATGTTAGGAAAATAAGCCTTTCCATCTTTTCAAATATTAATCATTTTTATGTGTTAGGAAATTCATTCTCTTCTAGTCATTTTGAAATATGGATTATTTTAACCAATGGTTACCCTACTTTGCAAAAGAAGTAATTCCTCCTTTTTGTGTCTTGGTGCTCCTTATTGAGCATCTTCGAATTGTTTCCTGAGATTGGTCCTTGGAATAGCTAATCTTTATTTATTCTGTTGTTACAATTTAGCTCACTAGGCAGCAGCAGGTGCTTGGGTTTCACCTTTCTCCAGTCAGCAAAGTGATGTTTTGATGACCTCCATTTGATACTTGTAAACCAAGTCTAATACAAAGATTGATCTTTAGGTCACAGATAATGGTAATGATAACTTCCATGATGACAGGTTCACCCCCATGCACAAATTCCCTTGTCTGAAGAGGGTTTAAATGAATATTGTTGCTCACAAATTATCAACTTACCTTTAACATACCTCGTTCTGGAGCACAAATCTGTGCTCCTTGTGGCAGATCTTTGCCTTCCTTACTTTCCAGGCTTTTCTAACTAATGTCTTCTCAGAACTTAACTTTTCTCTATTAATCACGAGTTAAAAGAGAAAGTGGCTGGTTTAGCATCTGGGGGTAAATTGCCACATCCCATTTCCTTCTCTATGAGCAGGATTTCCAATTTCCAAGCCTGATGGGATCTCTCAGCTGGAACAAAATCAAGTCTTTGATCTGGACATTAAGAATAGAGAAGTCTTAAAAGATGACTGCTCAGGTGAGTAAGGCAGAATCAATCAGATGGAATTAGTAGGGAAGTGAAGTCCACTTGTTGAGCCATGTTGTGGCTGCATTGGTACTCAAAACAAAGAGCTCTGCCTGTCCCRGAGTGGAGAGCTCCTGCCTCTCTTTTTGATGTGGGGGGCTTGCTGGGAATTGAACTCAGGGCCTCATGCATGCTAGGCAGAGTTCCTGCCTTCCCTTTGTATTTGTTTAGCCCCTTATGCACAAGTTGTGCTAGGTCCCATTCAAGTTGCTTATCTAAAATTCTTTTGGAAGAATTTTATTATTACCTTCTTTGAAAAACCTTAACTGATTATCTTCTTACTCTGCCAGATATTCTATCTATTCCTACCACTCCCTTGTCCATTTGGGTCCTACCTGATTGCTCTTGTTCATGCCCTTATGTCTGCTATTGAGATTTTGTGCCTGTTTTTTTTAGAGTAAATAAACTTCTCATCCTTGTAGATGTTACATCATTTAGTTTCCTCCTTTCTGAGTTCTCGTTAAGCACAGGTTACTACAGATTACATTTGCATTTTCTATTTATGTATTGTATCAGATGGAGAGACCAGAGAAGAGAACAAGCTGTTGATTGCTAAGCAGAGAATTTCGGAAGAAGTACATTCATACAAAGTGAGAGTAGGAAGACTCAAACAAGATATTGCTCAAGTTCCTGAGACTAGAGAAGTATATAAATCTGAGGACAGATTAGAAAGACTTCAGGAAATCCTAAGGAAATTTCTTTTTCTGGAGAGAGAGTTTAGGCAAATAACAATCAGCAAGAAAACCTTCACCAGTGAGAAGAACAGTGAATGTAATGAACCCGAAAAAAGCTTCAGTCTGGACCCTACCCTTGATGCAGATCAGAGAGTTCTTAGAATACAGAATATTGATGATAATAAGTACGACATGAACTTCAGCCAGGACTCGGCTGCTGGTAAACATGAACACATTAACCTGACACAGAATTTTCAGAGTAGTGAAAATAAAGAAAGCTTAATGGATCTCTCCCACCTTAGTAAATGGGAAAGCATTCCTACCACTGAGAAATCCTACAAATGTGATGCTTGTGGGAAAATCTTCCATCAGAGCTCAGCCCTTACTAGACATCAGAGAATCCATACTAGAGAGAAACCTTACAAATGTAAAGAATGTGAAAAATCTTTCAGTCAGAGCTCAAGTCTTAGTCGACATAAAAGAATACACACTAGAGAAAAATCCTATAAATGTGAAGTGTCTGATAAATCCTGCGAAACATCTGATAAATCCTGTAGTCAGAGCTCAGAAGTAATTCCGCATAAGAAGAGTCACACCAAAGGCAAATCTTATAAATGTGGCAGTTGTGAAAGAGTCTTCAGTCGTAGTGTACACCTTACTCAACATCAGAGAATTCACAGAGACATGCCCTGTAAGTGTACTATTTGTGGCAGAGACTTCTGTCATACTTCATATCTAATTGAACATCAGAGGGTCCATCATCCAGAGAAATCCTATGAGTATGATGAATGTGGGTTGGCTTATGTTAAACATCAAGGAATTCGTTTCAGAGAAAAGCCCTACACATGTAGTGAATGTGGAAAAGACTTCAGATTGAATTCACATCTAATTCAGCATCAACGAATTCACACAGGAGAGAAACCACATGAATGCAATGAATGTGGAAAAGCTTTCAGTCAAACCTCATGCCTTATTCAGCATCACAAAATACACAGAAAAGAGAAAGCATATGAATGTAATGATTATGAAGAAAGTTTCAGTCATAGCTCAGATCTTACCCTGCAACAAGAGGTTCTCACCAGAGAAAAAGTCTTTGATTGCGATGCATGGGAAAAGAACTTCAGTCAGAGAGCACACGTTGTTCAACATCAAAGAATTCATACCAAAGAGAAACCTTATGAATTCGATGAACGTGGGAAGACATTTAGTCATGTTCAGGCCTCATTTGACATCTGAGAGTTCACACCAGGGAGAAGTCGTGTACGTATTGAATGTGGCCAAGCTTTCACTCATAGTCTGACTCTTATCAGCATGAGAGATTCTCACCACAGAGAAACCCTTTGACGATGACAAATGTTGGAAAGCTTTTAATGTTTAAACTCTTAATTGGCTCTTGCATGTCCATACCAGTGAGAATGTGGTAAATTATTTACACTATTTTCATACCTTAGTCACAGTTGAGGAAATCATACTAGAATAAAATTCCATTACTGTAATTAATGTGAAGAATTCATTAGTCAGACTACCCTGGGTCAGWATCAGATTCATGCCATGCAGAAAAGCTGTCAATGTAATAAATGAGTATGTGTGTGAAGAAATTCACTCATAACCCAACATTCAGTATTAAAGAATCTATACCAAGAGAAGTCATTTGAGTGTAGTAAATATGGCAGATACTTCCATAGATATTAATCCAGTCTTTGTCATAAGAACATTTGTACCAGATGAGAACCTAATACAATGCAGACATACAATGCAGACAGAGAAATTTGCCACTGTATTTCAGGCTTTAGCCAACCAACATCAAAGTATGGGAGATAAAGTTGTTATTATTTGTATATGAAATTGTTAGTATTTAGTTCCAATCTTTTCCATTACAGAAGCTAGACTGAACTTGATAAATGCAGTCCTGTTTTCTCATGGCATTCTTGAATTTAATAAGAGATCTAAATAGTTATGTATATTTTATTTATAGAATTCATTTAAGCTATTTTGTATTTTAACATGGTCTATACACATTTTTATTTTTCCAGAAATTGGTTGTTTATTCACAGCTTTTCTAAGATATTGTTAACACAATACACCATTGTTAAAACACTCCAACTTCTGGAAAGTAGCTCAGTTAACTTTTTTGCTGTTCTGGGCCCAAGTTCCCTCCACAACAGACTCTGGCTGCGTTTTTCTGAGGAACTTTACAGACATAACCTTTGGTTTTTCAGAATTAAGCACCTTCAGATGATGGTTTCTTAGTTTTAAGCTTTTAATCAGCTGGTATGGTATTCCTATTTTGATGTTGCTAGTCTGGTATCTTCTTTCCTAAAACAAAGCATTGTCTTTTAAGAAAATTGGATATCAGTATGCAGCCAATCTATAAATATGGGGGATTTAATCTCCCTGAGTTTGTGGCAGGCAGCTAAACATTTTCAGGTGACATCCAAGTTTTTAGCTGCCTTGTCTGCATCCACAGCTCTCCAAAAGAGATGCTAAGGACATCAGGGAGCCCATCAGACTCCTGGTAGCCTAGCTATATTCATTCAGTGCCTGTTCTGCATGCCTAAGTTTAGAATTCTTTTATATGCCTCTATTGAAGGCCAGCAAAATGCTCAGGTCTGCTTTTGATAGGGCAAACATAAAGAACATAAAAAAAAAATCAGAAAACTTCATAAGGGAATACAGCCTTCCAACAAAGATGTTATGTAATATCTCTAGAGACTATTTCAAGAGTATGGCAGGTCTGTTCTTAGTAAAGATTTAACCATTAGGATTACTTTATCTGTTTGTATCCCCCACCCCTTTCAATCCAGGATAGTATTTGAAATGTGGGGCCTTTGTGTATAATTATTTGTGTGTCATCATTTTTATTTTCTTTTGAGAGAGGATCTCACTTTGTTGCCCAGGCTGGCCTTGAACTCCTGGACTCAAGCAAGCCTCCTGCCTCAGCCTCCTAAATAGTTGGAACTATAGCCATGGCATTGGCTTATATTTTTGTATTTTAATAGAATCTACAGGCCCTATAAAAGAACATAGATTTTTATTTGATAAAACTGATTACAGATATTGTCTCCAGAGTTCTGGGTCACTGTCATATACCTAAAGAGTTCATAATTTTTTAGATGTGGTCAAAGCATTTTATTGTTTTTCTGTCTTAMGTTTCATAACACCTTGTGAATAAAACAAGTGTTACTTAAAATTCTAGTTGTCAGTCCAGCAGTTGAGGCTTTCATTGTTCAGATGTTATAATATTCACTAGAGATCCTTAACAAATATATAAAAATAAATTGCTCTATAAGCCTTTAGTGGCTAACCTCTAGTCCAGTTCTGCCACTATATTTTGCTTCTGTGCCATCAGCAAGCTTAGAATCTCATCAGGGCAAGGTAGGGATCTAAATGAAATTGATATATAATGATCTAAATGTAAAAGCAACTGAAAAATGCATGKTTTTTTTCTATCAAATATGTATACCCTTACTTATAGAGACCAATAGTCATCTCTGGTGACTATGTTACAGAGGATTAAGAAATACCTAAATAGCATAAAATGTAAATCACATGTATGCATTTGGTTTAGGAATGTGCTTTTGTACTTCTACTTGAATAAAGGTGTGCTTAATATTCTGAGAATCTGTTTCAAACAAAATCTGAAGGCCTCCGCCAGAAGCATTCAAAAGTCTTCGAATCACCTTCGTGACTGCAACTTTCTTCTTTCCTGAAACTTGCTCTATACAAAAGTGAATCAGCCTGTCTTGTATGGATACAAGACAGCTGAATATTTAGGATTTAAAGGGCTATTCAGTTGGGATGTTATCAGTACATGAAATGAGAGTAAATAGTTTCATGTTTTAGAACTAGAAAGAGTATTTTTTCTTTGTAAGTAAAATACATTTTAAAAAACAAGAAGCCAAAATAGTCCTTGAGTATGAGTAACTTGCCTTTTCAAGCAGATGTTTAATTAGTCCAATATAATTTGAGTTTGTTTAGTCTTTTATGGTCTTGAAGCGGGAGGGAAGAGAAGAAATATATGGAAGGTCATCCAGTTTATCTTTTCTTCTGTTACTCAACTTACATGTGCATTTACGTAATRTGTACATATTCAAACAATTCTCACCACAATTCTGCAAGGGAGCTGGCTTCTTATAGAGTAACTGAGGTGTAGAGAAGGTAAGCATGCTATCAGATACATCTCAGAGCTCAGCAGTTTTCTTTGATAGCCTTTCACTTCCTCCAGCGATTCAGTGCTGTGTTTGCAGCTGATCCCAAGACTCCCAGAGCTCTGGGATCCTAGGAGAGGATATCTGGAGATGTTTTTAAGGAGCTAATCAAAGCCCTTCCTTGACACAGGCTTACATAATTTCGGCAGTGTCAGGTTATTAATTCAAAACTCCCAATCCTGCTGTGATATCCCTGTTTCATCAGCTAGTTGCACATTTCTGTTTCTCAGTGTTCCATGTTTTGTTCTTAAGTTTTCCTGCTAACTAGAACTTGCTGATGGATACATGCCCTTAATCAAGTTAATTGCTTCTGGTTAAAGCAGTGGAGCAAAACAGGTAACAAGCAAATTTGATTTTAGGCATTGAAAAGGATACAGATAAACCATAAAGGTCGGGGTATACTGGAACAGGATCAGAGAATAAGCAAAAGTTGTAGCATGTCAGACTTACACATGGGAATATGGCATTTTCAAGGTAATGAATAAGGGTGCTCCTTATAGAAAAGCCTTACCCTATGAAATTGTATGTAGACAATTGAGCAGCCACCCGCTTTCCCAGTGTTTGAATCCAGATTCTTGCTTTCCATATGCTTCCCACTGAGCTACACCCCTAGTCCTGCCAAGCAGGTTTAAGAGTAGTTCAAAGCAGGCCTTGAGGAAGTCAGCAAAGTACAATGGAATTCTCATGTATGAAAATGTAACCTCATTCTTAAGTAGTAAAATTGCCAGGCACTGATATCAATAATAGCCAAGGGGTGCATTTCACTTAATAAAATCAAACTGTTAATAAGAGGATTACAGGTTAGAGTAGCAGTCAAAACAATGACTGGAATCATATACACATTTGAGATTTTATTTGGAAAGTGAACCTCTGGTTTCCTTGTCTACACAATATCATGAAAGTTACATGAGATAATGTAAAAGGTGTTGATCACTACAAGTTAATATAATGTAAAAGGTGTTGATCACTACAAGTTAATATAAGGGCTGGGATTGTGGCTCAGTGGTAGAGTGCTTGTGTAGCATGTGTGAGGCACTGCTTTTGGTCCTCAGCGCCACATAAAACTAAGCAAAATAAAGATCTGTTTCAAAAATTGCTCTTGAATATAAAAACCAATAAATTTAGAAAAGAGCTGAGTTCTTTTACATTTAGCAATGTAAGATCAGCATTGTCTGAGGAGGGATACCTTAGATTTGGATAACTGGAGAAAGGATTGGGTATTTTGGGTTTTGATAGGAACTGCCTCCTGTCACTCCCTCCCTGCTGGAACTAGCAAACCGACACCTGTCCCTAACATTTGTAGTACAGTATCAAGTCAGAACTCCCTTACAATATGACTGTGTGAAGGAGTCAATGTTGGATAATCCAAGACTAAATGATTTCAGATAATGCAATTTACAAATCAAGAAAATAAGTACTGTAATTTTTTATTTGCTGACATTTCTCATTCACTCTGCTTTTAGAAAAGTTTAGCCTATATATATTTTTAGCTTGTATTTGTATTTCATTCATGTTATAAAATTACACCTTGGATATAATTTCCAGCTTGTGTCTTTTTTTTTTTTTTTTTTTTTTTTTTTTTTTTAATAACAGCCCCCAGTTTTGTTCCATTGTCCTTCATGGGGGTAGTTAGTGACCCTGGCTCTGGTTGGAGTAGGCCAGAGTTCAAACATGCTGTTTTTGGTGCTTATTCTATGTAGCTGCTGGCATGGTAAAATAGGGAAACAATACCTGCTTTGTAGGTTTGTGGGGATAATGACCTAACATCAGCCCAAGTGTACCATAACCGGTAGCTGCTGTATGTTAAACAGAACTGTTTATCTCAATCTCAAATAGCTTCAATATGTCAAATAGGCCTCTGGCAAACCCGTACTTCTGGCAGGGTAGGCCGATTGGTGGCCTTTTCTCCAAGGCTTCCTATTCCGGCCTGCTGGTGGAGGCTGGTCTTCTTATTTATTTACATAGTCCAGGCAAAACGGGTAGCAGCTGAGGTGAAAAGGGCTCGCTGGACGGCGACAGAGCTCTGTTCCCACAGGTTAGCCTGGCCTTGGCATGATAAGGGAGGTGGAGATGGCGAGGAGTCACCGACAGAGTGCACACCCAGCAGTGGCAAAGGAAGCCAACAACCAAACCAGCTGGGTCCGCTTGGCAAAGAAGGGGAGGTAAAGGGATCGGTCCCACCCCCAACCCCTCTTCAGGGACAGACGGAGGTCCTACTCGATCCAGCTCTGGCCTGCCTTCCCCACTTGCTCCTCGAGAACTTGCATCGAGTTATACCTCTCTTGCCKCCTAGAGGGGACCCGGAAGTGCAGGCGGAGGACGCTGAGACCCCTCTGGGGATGAGCGAGTGAGTTTCGGGGCTTCGCGGCGATGCGCGGTCCGCGGCAGAGACCCTGGGCCCAGAGGCTGCTGTTGTGGCTGCCGGACCCCATTTGGGGTCCGGGACTGGGTCCAGGCGGTGGGGGTACCTTCTGTTTCTGCAGGCTGGCTGCACCCCACTTTCGCTCATYCTGCTTGGACAAAGAATGGGGCTTCTGACATCTCCTCCTGCGTTGGGAGCCCCCCCTCGGGAAAACGTCACCGTTTCCCGAAATGACTGTGCATCCCTTGAATTCTTTTCTGAAGAATTTTCAGAGAAGATCTTGTCCTTGTGGCAACATCAGACRTTGGACCCAGCCGGTGGAAAGGCCACGTTTCCAGTCTGTGAAAGCACTGTTGGGATGATCTGCCCTTCCAGCATCAGTTTAACTTGCACCAGTTAACTTGCTTGGCGCTTGGAGAGAAGCTCAATAAATGTGTGAATAAATAAATGCGTGAACTCGAGCTGGGGTTGTGGCTCAGTGGTAGAGTGCTGGCCTAGCATGCACGAGGCACTTGGTTCGATCCTCAGCACCACATAAATGTAAAAATAAAGATATTGTGTCCACCTAAAACTTAAGAATAAACATTAAAAAAAAATAATTGCATCAACTCATATCAACTTCCTGGAAAAGTTTGGATACCTGACACTCCTGCCCCCTKTACCTGAGGTATAAACTCCAAGGGGGTGCCTCATCCGTGGAGTACAATAGGTCAGCCACCTGCTATTGAAAATGAGGTTGAACTACTATTTTTTAAAATATTTTTTTAGTTGTAAATGGATACAATACCTTTATTTTTATGTGGTACTGAGGTTCTAACCCAGTGCCTCACAGCACAAGTTTTGTGCTCTACCACTGAGCCATAACCCCAGCCCCAAGGTTGAACTACTTTTATCTGTATTTCTATTTCAATCTGCCAGTTAATCTGGTGCATGGCCATTTAAAAAAATGGAGTTGATTATTTAATTAGGGCACAAAGGTTTAGATAATCCACATCATGGCTTATGTTTGGGAATTTTTCTTGCACAAATTTAGTCTTCTAATTATGTTCAGTTTAACTTAATTTAAACTTTCATGGATAATTACTACCAGGTGCTGGTGTTACCCATGTGAATTGTAGGCAAGAGGCCTGACATGGGTGGGTGGGGGGTTTTAAACAAACCAGGTGGGGCCACTTGMCCCCAAAACCAAACAGTAAAGATAATGGTGAAAAATTGGAAAATAACTTTAGTCAGTATGTCCATATTGGGAAGATAAAGTGAGATCGGGCATCTCAGTCCTGTCTTCAGGGTCCTGACAGGATCTTTAGGATTAAGGACCTTAGATGAGCACTCCTCTGGTGATTAACATGCCTGTGTGCAGGGCTGAGCGGGGTCAAGGAGACAGATACAGAATGAAGGTAGAGATGCCAAGCTTTATCCTGCTTTTTGTTACCTACAGGGCATCTGCAGGCCTAAATGAAGAGCCACTACTTTTAGAAAAAGCAGCATCTCTAAGTCCCTGTTATGTGGGGACTAAGTTAAGAGAAAACCTAATCCCTGTTCATCCATGAATGTGGAGTTGAGGTGGGAATAGTCAGTGATGAAGGTCTATGGGACAATAAGCAATGATGAAGTTCTCAAAAGGAGCTCAGGGCCAACTGGACATTGGATCAGGAAGCATTAAGAAACTCAAGGGCTTGGCTGTGAAAGAATGTATAGTAAAAAAAGAGTCAGATTTTAATTGAGGGGGAATAAGACTTGAGGAGCCAAGTGTCCTTGTTAGCCTGCTTAAAGGACTCAGTTATTCCTGATAGTTCACAGGACTTATGCATTCAGTACATGCTCCATAACCTGATTCCGGATACTCTGCCATGTGGCCTCAACCCAACTTCAAGGTCTTACTTCACTGTTCTCCAGACAGACCCAGCAAGATTGTTGTGTCTGCGCAAGGAAATGCACTACCCGAACTGTGCCTTTGTGTCCTTTTTCTCACGAAACTTGCTGTCCCTATACTGCCCTAGTCCTACACATCCCATGACTCAGAGTAGGGCAGTCTTCTCTATGAAGCTTCTGAAGCTAAGTAGACAAACAGATGCAAGACATTTACAGGGAAAC